TCTATAAATACAAAACCATTAAAGCCCATGCAGCAGGAACATGATCAGGGCCTCCTTTTAATTTCCTGACACGAGCTGGCCACTAACCCAATTATCCAGAATCCCCCGAGGAGCCCTCCACCTTCCCAACAAGCACAAAAAGAGAGGGGGAGAGCATATTGTGTGGACAGAGGCCCAGCTCTCACTGAAATCAAATATCTTTTAGAAAACACTTGGGGAGTGAGAGCAGTGGGCAGGGGCTGTGTGGGGAGGTTGATGGCTGGTAGGAGGGAGAAGAGAAGGAGGAGTGTACAGGGACAGACTGACTAAGGGACAGACTGACTAAGAAGTTGCTGGGATCTCAGAGCTATACTCAACACTTGGAGCGCCCCCTATGAAATGTAGCACACAGACCCAGGCGCTAGCAGCTCACACCTGTAAATCTACTTAGAGACTGAGATCTGAAGATCACAGTTCAAAGCCAGCCTGGACAAAAAAGCGGGTGACACTCATATCTCTAATTAACAAAAAAGCCATAAGTAAAGATGAAGGCTCCAAGGCCAAGGGAGACCATAAGGCACTGAGTTCAAGCCTCAGTGCCAGTACAAAACAAAAACGAAAAAAGAAAAGCAGACCATGGACATCAACTCCATTGCACAAGCTGCCTGAAGTTCCAGGCAGTGCAGGGGAGAGCCACGAAGGGCAAACACTTAGTCCCAAATTGAGATATCTGATGCCCTGAGAGGAAGGAAGCCATTCTTATGTCCAACTTCTTTCCCAGTCATTGTTGGGGCCTCCAAACCACTGAGCAGTCAGAAAGGAAAAGTCATCAAAGATCTCGAGCTGCTGGGTATTAGAGGTTTAGACTCACAGGTGATGGGGGAAGAAGAGAGCAGACAGCATCATACTCTGAAACTCAGGCCCCCAGCCCAGGGCCCAATGTGGAACCCTAACTCATAACACAGCTGCAGAAAGGGCGAGGTTCATGTCTTTTTTTTTTTTTTTTAATTTTATTTTATTTTATTTGAGAACATACTGTACAGAGGGGTTACAATTACACGGGCAGGATAATAGGTTCATGTCTTAAGAGTAACATTGGAAAGAAACCGGGGCACCAGTGGCTCACACCTGTAATCCTAGTTACTCGGAAGCTGAGATCTGAGGATTTCAGTTCAAAGCCAGCCTGGGCAGAAAAGTCTCTGAGATTCTTAACTCTAATCACACACACACACACAACTTTGGGAAGGCAGAGGGAGGAGCCCAGGTTGGTATGGGGAGCTAGGCCAGTAGGGACACCCAAACAAAAGCTAGAGCTAGAGTAGTTGCCAAGAGCCTCTGCCTGGCAAGAACCCAGGCTACTGAGTGAAGTCTGCTTCTCTTGCTTCTCCTGAGGGGGCTGGTCCCTGCAGAGCCCCAGATTCCAGGACCTCACCAAGGCTCCGTGGGGACACAAATGGAGCCAGGCACGCGCCTCCCCCATCCTCAGGAAGCCATGTGTCATCTTTCCCATTTTGGAGTTAGACATGCCAGCGTTGGAGGGGAGGGAGAGAGATTGTTCTGGGGACTTCCCAGGCAGCATTTCCTGGCAGGACTCAAGCATAGCACATCTGCCCAGGACGCTGATTTCAACCCTGTGCGTCCATCAACCTCGGGGGTATTGATGATGTGATAGGGCCGCCGTGGGCTCCCTTGCAGGTCCCCCCCACCCTGTCAGCTCATCATCCCACCATGGTGAGCATGCACAGCACCGACCCTGGTATCACCACTGCCCGTGCATTCCAGCCAGCAGCAGATCACCTTTTTTGGGGAGAGGGGGGAGGAGCCACTAGAAAGTGCCTCCTACTTTCCAACACTGGGGAAACCCCAAAGAGACCTCTGTGCACCGCAATGACACTCCAAGGGTTTTCAGTGGTCGTCCACCCTTCCCACCTCTATCCCTGACCTTTGTCTGGACACACAGCACAGAGCAGAAGCTCTGGGTGCAGCTCCCCTCAACCCAGCAGGTGACTAAGGCTGGGAGAGTCATCTCACCTTAACTTTCCCCGGTCCTCAAGGAGGCCTCCTTCTCTGAGCCCCTCAGCCGCCCAAGCAGAGAAGCTGCACATGTAGCAAGGAAAGGCACTGGGCAGCTGGCCACAGCCTGTCCTTAGCCCCTGCGTATAGCACAGGGGTGGCTCCACCTCTCCAAGTGAAGACTCCCAAACCTGGAAGCCCTCAAGCCTCCAGCTTTCCATAGGAGACCAGAGCTGAGGCCCTTCCACACCTGCTTCCTCACCCAGGAACACCAGAAGATGCTGAAGGAGCAGGCAGCCTAGTGAAGAAGCTGGGGACAAAGGGCTCAGCCACTAGTTTGGTCACATCCTATATGCAGCAAGAACAAAACCGTGTGATCCAAATGAACCCACGAGGGGGCTGGGAAGGTGGCTCAGTGGTAGAGTGCTTGCCTTGCATGCATGAGGCCCTGGGTTCGATTCCTCAGCACCACATAAGCAGAAAAAGCTGGAAGTGGTGCTGTGGCTGAAGTGGTAGAGCACTAGCCTTGAGCTGAAGAGCTGAGGGACAGCGCCCAGGCCCAGAGTTCAGGCACCATGACTGGCAAAAAGAAAAAAAACAACAACAAATGAACCCACGATTGAAATGTCATCAGGTCTGGAACAGCCAAGGTTTTAAACCTAGAAAGAAGGCTGTGTGCAGACAGCACATGTGTGGGAGAGGAGGGGCCCTCTCCATCACAGAGGTGACTAAACGATGAACATACTGTAAAGGGTATATGCCATGTAGAGCCCAGGAGAACGGAGGACCTGTTTTCAAGCACCTGTTTTATTGGTACAGGTGCTGGTGTACCTGCACCACTCAGGTGAAAAGTGGGATCTGGCACAGACATGGAAGTGGTCTGTTTCCTCAACATCCATCTGATCTATCTCACAGGAGAAGCTCATCTGGATCCCCTTCTCCAGAGGGTGCTAGAAGATTCCAGAGGAGGGGGAGTGGGGCCGGGTGAAGGTGGGAGCTAAACTTTTGAGATCAATGTCTTCCCTGTTCCTCCCAGAAGGCTGCCCTCAACACAGCCCCTCCCAGCCATCTCCACAAACCTCTTTCCTGCCTCTTCCCATTCTAGAAGGAGCCAACTACCCAGAAGCTGATCTCTAAGAAGTTCCAGTGAGGGCTGGAAAGTCGGCTCAGTGGTAGAGCGATTGCCTTGCATGCATGAAGCCCTGGGTACGATTCCTCAGCACCACATAAGCAAAAAGAAAAAAAAAGCCGTAAGTGGCGCTGTGGCTCAAGTGGCAGAGCGCTAGCCTTGAGCTGAAGAGCTGAGGGACAGCGCCCAGGCCCAGAGTCCAGGCCCCAAGATCGGACCCCCCCAATAAATAAATAAATAAATAAGAAGAAGTTCCAGTGACTCCCTGTGAAAGCTGCAGGAAATACACACACACACACACACACACACACACACACACACACACACACACACACACACACACACACACACACACACACACACACACACAATGGCACTAAATGGGGTTTGTCAAACTAAGCAGATGAATAAGGACAATGAGGGAGACTTGCCTACATCGTGAGCCACAAATCATGTCAAGTTTGCTAGAAGCCACATAAAAGAAGATAAAAAGGCATTGAGAGGGTTCATTGCACCCAGTGGATCCAGAATACTATTGTATCTGCAGGCAATCTTTCTGTGTGTCCTGGTACTGGAGCTTGAACTCAGGGCCTCTCTACCCTCACTTGGCGTCTTTGTTCAAGACCCATATTCTATCACTTGAGCCATGCTTCCAGTTGTGTGAAATCTATCTTTCCGATGATAATTGCCACAATTTACCCTGTTTTGTTTTTAATCCTTTTAAGTCACTGTTTTTGCCAGTACTAGGGATTGAACTCAGGGTTTTGTGCCTACTAGGCAGGGCAGTTATTTTTTGTTTGTTGGTTTTTTGCCAATCTCGGGCCTTGAACTCAGGGCGTAGGCACTGTCCCTGAGCTTCTTTTGTTCAAGGCTAGCACCCTTACTTGAGCCACAACACCACTTCTGGCTTTTTCTGAATAGTTTATTGGAAGAGTCTCACACACTTGCTACCCAGTTTGGCTTTGAACTGCGATCCTCAGATCTCAGCCTCTTGAGAAGCTAGGATTACAGGCGTGAGCCACCACCTCCTGGCCTATAGTTATTTTTTGAATAGGGTCTTATGTTTACGTTCAGGCAGGTATGAACTACAACACTCCTACTTATACTTCCTGTGTAGCTGGGTTAACAGGCATGTACCATCAAGCTACCACACTCAGCTTTTATTGGTTGAAATAGCATCTCCCAAACTTTGTGCCTAGTCTGGTCTCAAGTGACATTTCTCCTGATCTCTATCTCCCAGGTAGCTTAGATTACAGGCGTGAGCCACACCACCAGTGTATATATTTCACTTAGCACACACCCTGGTTAGGTCTAACACTTAGTCACCACCTGTGGCTGTGGCTGCCATACCAGATGGTGCAAATCTACGAGGAGAAACAGGGAGAAGAAGAGGAAGAGAAGGATAAGATGGCAGGAAGAGTGATAAGAGAAACATTTACCAAGAGAGAGCCGTGTCCGGTCTTCCCCACCCCCGATCCCACTGACCCAGAAAACAAGGCTCCTCTGTAGGTGAGAAAGGCCTTTGTGGGCAAAAGCTGTGGTATTTAGTCATCACTCGCGGCCTTAACACCTCTGTCCTTCCACCCCCAAATCTTTAACGAAGGAGCACTGAGAATTAAAACCTAAGCCCTAGGGTGGGGAGAGGCCTATTCCAAGAAGGCTCTAAGAGTGAGAGACAAGCCAAGTGCTGTCCAGGTGTCTCCCAGGAGATGACAGGTGCCTAGGCGATGGGAAGATGGCCATAGGTAGCCAGGATGACCCTGAAAGATGCAGGTGACCTGAGCTGCCCCAGGCAAGGTGCAGGGGCCTGAAACTCCCCAGTGAGAAGTGCTAAGCTGCACCCCAACTTGACAGCAGGTAGTGTGGGGGCACCTCTTACCCTCCTTCAGCATCCCCACTTTCAGACACTTCATGAAGCGGCAGGCCTGGCAGGACTTGCGCCTCCGTTTGGTGATCTCGCACTCGTTGGTGGCCGGGCAGCTGTACTCGATGTTTCCTGTAACACAGAGAGGGAGGGTTGCCAGGTACCTGCTATCCAGGACCTCTGACCCACTGGAGGCCTGCTGGCCAGGAGGTTAACTGGCCTTAGCTACAACTCACCCCACCTAGGGTTCCATAGGGAAGAGCTTCTCAAAGCAGGGGTGTGGCTGAATGTTTCAGACTCTTCCCTGCAGGGACTCCAGGCTGAAGGTTGGTGGTCTCATAGACATTTGGAAAAGCACTCTCTAGCTCTATAGCTGCCACCAGGATGGGTGGCAAACTCACTGTGCTGGTATTTTTATCCCATGGAGACCACAGCCCTATGCAAACCACCAGACCTCCTGCCCCTCCAGCCTCCAGCCTGGGACTTCCTGTTGCTGGGAAAAGCCTCATGGCTATTCAGCTCACTGTGGTCAGGGTCTGGATTTTGTCTCCCACTGGAAGGGCCCCATGCCACCAAGCTTTACTGACCTGAAAGACATTACCTTTCTCTCACCTAGTCTTAGTTTGCTCATCTGTACAACAAATGCTCCTTCCTAACCAAAGATTTAAACAAGACATTGCCTGGACAGTTGCTTTAAAAGAAACTGTAGGAGCTGGGCGCTGGTGGCTCACACCTGTAATCCTAGATACTGGGGAGGCTGAGATATGAGGATACCAGTTCAAAACCAGCCCGGGCAGAAAGTGTGTGAGACTCTTATCTCCAATAAACCACTCAGAAAACTGGAAGTGGTGCTGTGGTTCAAGTGGTAGAGAGCTAGCCTTGAGCTGAAGAGCTTAGAGACAGTGCCCAGGCTCAGAGTTCAGGCCCCACCACTGACCAAAAAAAAAAAAAAAAAATTGTAGGGCTGGGAATATGGCTTAGTGGTAGAGTGCTTGCCTAGCATGTATGAAGCCCTGCGTTCCATTTTTAATACCATATAAATAGAAAAGCCAGAAGTGGCACTGTGGAAGTGGCAGAGTATTAGCCTTGGGCAAAAAGAAGCTCAGGGATAGTACCCAGGCCCTGAGTTCAAGCCTCAGGACTGGCAAAAAAAAAAAGTTTATAAAAACAACAACTGTAAAATGTGCTGGGTACAGATGGCTCATATCAGTAATCCTAGCTACCCAGGAGACTGAGATCTGAGGACTGTAGTTCAAAACAAACCAGGGCACACACATCCAAAAAACTCATCTTCAATTAACCAGAAAAAAGCCAAAAGTGAAGGTATGGCTAAGTAATAAAATACCAGACTTCAGTGAAAAAGCTAAGAGTGCAAGACCCTGAGTTCAAGCCCCAGTGTATGTGTATGCACACCTGTACACACACACAAAGTAAAGTATGGACTGAGGACAGGGCCCAATAGGTAGAGTATTTGTCTACAAGTATAAAAGGCTGTGGGATCCAGGTGCTGGTAGCTTATTCCTGTAATCCTAGCTACTCAGGGGGCTGAGATCTGAGGATCACAATTCAAGCTAGCCAGGCAAGAAAATCTGTGAGACTCTTATCTTCAATTAACCACCATGAAACCGGAAGCAGTATGGTGGCTCAAGTGATAGAGTGCTCACCTTGAGTTGAAGGGCTCAGGGCCAGTGCCCAGGCCTAGAGTTCAAGTCCCAGGACCAAAAATAACTGGATATGTGATTCAAGTGGTAGAATGCATGGCGGGCAAGCAGGGGGCACTGAGTTCAATCCCCAGTGCAAGAGTGACTGTCAAGAGTTAGTCAATGTGAGGTAGTCTTGGGTTTTTTGTTTTTTTGTTTTTGGGTCTGGTTGTGGGGCCTGAACTCTGGGCCTGGGCGCTGTCCCTCAGCTCTTCAGCTCAAGGCTAGCGCTCTACCACTTGAGCCACAGCGCCACTTCCAGCTTTTTTCTTTTTGCTTATGTGGTGCTGAGGAATTGAACCCAGGGCCTCTGGCATGCAAGGCAAGCGCTCTACCACTGAGCCACCTTCCCAGCCCTGTGAGGTAGTCTTCTGACAAGTACAATTGGTCCTCCCCTCTGCCAAGGGGATTTGTGATAAATTTTCCAGTCACTAAAATGGGTTATAATGTGGCCAGCCCCAGCTTCCCAGGAAGCTGGGAGTCCCTGAAGGTCGTGTGTACTACTCACCAAACTCTAACAGTACCTGGAAGGCCCAGTCCCCAGAAGAAAGGGAGGGAGTACAAATAGATGATGGCCTCCTGGCAATGCCATGGAAGATAGATACACACACACACACACAGATGAGAAACCCCAGCTTCACAGAGTGCCATGGAAGATAGATACACACACACACACACACACACACACACACACACACACACACACACACACACACACACACACACACACACACACACACACACACACACACACACACACACACACACACACACACACACACACACACACACCAGATGAGAAACCCCAGCTTCACAGAGTGCTCCTGGGCAGTGTGACAAGCCAGGTCTCAGGAGGCTTAGACTGACCTTCATTCACTGCTCTTTTCAGGGCCTGCTCCTGGGAACATTCACAGTCCCCTCACAGTGGCTTCATCCGTGCCGATTACACTCCTAGAGCTGGAAGCCAAGGCAATGGGGTGCCAGGTCTCTCATTGTAGCCCTACAGAGATACTCACCTCAGAAGGACACCGAGAAACTGCCTGCCCTTGTAATCCATCCGCATGACATTAATAGTAGCCAGGAATAATAGCCAGGCATTGGTGGCTCCCACTACACCTCAGGAGGCTAAAATCTGGAGTTCTTACTTCAAAACCAGGCTGAGTAGAAAAGTCTGTGAAACTCTTATCTCTGATTAATCACCCAAAACCCAGAAGTGGAAGGTGGCAAACCTTGAGCCAAACAACAACAACAAAAACAAAAACTAAACTAAAAGAGAGTACAAGGGGCCCTGAGTTCAAGCCCCCATACTGCCACACATGCACACACACTCACAGGCACACACACAAAATAGCGAGGAGTTGCTGTGTACTGCTTTTCTGCATGAACTACGTCAGCTCCCTCTATCTTCACCACACTGGGAGTGGACATATCACTGTCCCAAGACTTGGGACGCAGGAGGAGCTCGGAGCCATCAGCAGCGTGGCCCTCAAAGACGGAGCCCTGTTGCTGACTCAGCAGCTGAGATGGTGTGCTGCAGCCATCTATCAGACTTTCTAGAAATAAGCAGGATGCATGTCAGCGGTGACAAAGTGTCTGAAGGAGTCACATCGCTGGGCCCCAATTACAACAGGCCTAACTCATTCTGGAGGGGAACCCAAGGGCCTTAGAGCATCTTGGGGCTCCCCTTCCTCCTTGTCCTGTCTCCTCAGGAGGGGCTAGAGGTCACCCTCTCTGTTGGAGGATGGGAAGGGATGACGATTCTGTGTTCCTCCCACCCACTTCTACCATCCTAACCTTAACTTTCTTCTTCTTTTTTTTTCCCCTAGGTACTGGAGTACCTCATGCTTAAGTCCTCACTTGATAGGTGAATGCTTCTACTGCTGAGTCATGTCTCTAGCCCTGCTTTGCGCTAGTTATTTTGTGAGGTAGGATCTGCTCTCCAGGCATGTGCCTGGAACACAGAGCACCTATTTGTAGGCTTATCATTGGTAGATGACAGGCAAGCACCACCAAGCCCAGCTTCTCTCTGTTGAGATGGAATCTCTCAGACTTCTCTGTCTGGGATACCCTAGAACCAGGATCTTCTCCTCAGCCTCACAGATAGCTTAGGATGACAGGCATGTGCCATTGTGTCCACTATTGGATTGAGAAAGGATCTTGTAAAAATTTCTGTCCACAAGGACCACAAACTACGATTCTCCTGATTTTAACCTTTCAAGTAGCTAGGATAACAAGCCTGAATGACTGGCACCTGGATTAGAAAATAATTTTAGTAGTCACATGAGCATAGTAAAATTAAAAAGAGAAAGTGGAAATAGATATGAAATACTTCTGACTTACCCTTGTGCCATCAGGGCTCTGTAGACACCCCAACCCTCTCTCCATCTCCAGCCTTCCTATGGAGTTCCTCCCTAATCACTCTGCAAAACTGTCACTTCCTGGAACCCCACAAACTTATCAGTTCCAGTTTCTTGTGGTCTCCAGGCTCTTTGGTCTTCCAGAGTTTTTGAAGCTAAGGACAAGCCTACCATACTCCCTATGCCTCCCCCACCCCATACCAGCCTGACCCAGCTGCTTCTCCAGGTCCCACTGGAGAGGTGTTCCCTCTCTACTGACTAGCCCCTCCCCTCCCTTCTGCCAGTGTTCTGTCTGGGTCCTTTACCCAGGCTAGCTCCTTTTTTCCCTGCCCCCTGTCAGTCATGGGGCTTGAACTCTGGGCCTGGGCACTGTCCCTGACCACCTTAGAAATGAGTCAACTTTTTCCGCCATCTTACAAATGTGAGCCAAGGTATGGTGGCAAATACCTAGAATCCCAGTACTTGAGAAGAATGAGTCTATAGAAATTGTAGCATTTGAGCTGGGAATGTGGCTTAGTGATAGAGTGGTTGTCTAGTATTCATGAAGCCCTAGGTTCAGTTCCTCTACCTCATAAACAGAAAAGGCTAGAGATGGTGCCATGGCTCAAGTTGTAGGAACTAACCTAGGCCCTGAGTTCAAGCCCCAGGAGAAAGAAAGAAAAAAAGAAAGAAAGAAAGAAAGAGAGAGAGAGGGAGAGAGAGAGGGAGGGAGGGAGAAAGAAAGAAAGAAAGAAAGAAAGAAAGAAAGAAAGAAAGAAAGAAAGAAAGAAAGAAAGAAAGAAAGAAAGAAAGAAAGAAAGAAAGAGAAAGAAAGAAAGAAAGAAAAAGAAAGAAAGAAAGAAAGGAGAAGAAAGAGAGGCAAAAGATAGAGAAGAAAGAGGCGAAAGAGAAAGAGAGAAAGAAAGAGAACAGAGTCCATGCTGTGGGTGGGTGGGACTTGGTGGAACCTAGGTGGCAGGTGTGAGGGTCTGCTGCAGGCAAAGCAGGCAGTGAGCCTGCAGGTATAGTATCTGTAGTTGTTTGGGACATTTGTGCATTCTGCTATCTTTTCCCATGCCCCCATGTCCAGCTGCAC